GCTCGGCAGGGGGTCTGCTTCTCCCTCTGACCCTCTTCCCTCTCGTGCTCTCTGTCTCTCATTCTCTCTCTCTCAAATAAATAAGTAAAATCTTTAAAAAAAAAAAAATTAAATACCCCCCTACAATGATAAGTTGACTGCCAACACAGACTTTAAATTTAAAGCAGTTTCATCATACCTGCCAATTTCTTCTGGAAGACTTTTCCTTGAGAGCTTTAAAAATGTGTAACTTTTGATTCCATAGACTATTTATTTACATGTATCTCCTATTCAGTGCCTGCTTAATTTCTAAGTCGAATTCCCAGATAATTGATTAGAAGGGAAGTGATATTTTAATGGTAAGATTTATCACTAGTTTAGGTATTTCTACCCTCTTAATTTTTTTTGTGAAACGATGATAATGCCTTAGCTTCAAATGCCTAAGTACCTCCTATATCCGTTTCCTTGTCCATAAAATCGGTTATACCCATACGAGAAAGCAACCCATCAATTTTTACTCACTGAGAAAAAACAAGATGCTTTCCAACTCAGTGGGCAAAACCGTGATTATTTCACCATCTCTCAGCCAGCCATGTTTTTGCCTGTGTTACTCATTTGTACATCTTGTTGTGTCTTTTCTGATTTCTTCCTCTCAAAAATATGTGTCCTCTCTTCGATGCAAGCATGCCATATTTTGAAACGAGTGCTGCGACTGGCCAGAATGTGGAGAAAGCTGTGGAAACCCTTCTGGACTTAATCATGAAGCGAATGGAACAGTGTGTAGAGAAGACACAGGTCCCCGACACTGTCAATGGTGGAGACTCTGGAAAGCTAGATGGGGAAAAACCAGCAGAGAAGAAATGCGGTTGCTAGACCCTACATAGGAACTGATCATCAAAAACCCCACCCAAATATTACTTCCAAAAAACAGCGACAAACCACAAAATTGTTGTAAGTAGACCATGCATAATGGCATGTTTTTCTTTTTCTTCCAGAAAAATCTATTTTGAGAAACCAGAATATCAACAGTGTTCAAAAGAATTGACCAGTTGTCTCTGAGGCGCCCTCCAAACAAGATCAGAGATTTCCTAATGTGATCTCATGGTCATGGATGCTCAATTTGTTGTTGTTGTTATTGTTGTTTTTTGTTTTTTTTTTATGAAGAAGATGAGTATATAAGAAAGTATTCAAGATGATATCAGTGAGTTTTAAATCAGAACAAAAATGACCGTGTCACATGGGGAAAAGGAATAGGCCACTAAAGGGAGAATATAGAAAGACAATTTTTTTTTTTTTTAAAGATTGGATTTACTTCTTATATAGAGTTTGATTTGTACTTTTAGTTTTGCATTGGGGGAACATATTAGCTAAAACTGAGGATACAATCAAGAATTCTAAATGGATCATTAGTAATGACATTACTATATACACCCAATAAGCTGTTCTAGGGTGACTCAAATACTGGTAAGGTTATGAGATTGTGAATCAGACTTCTGTTAAAATGTGGGAGATTGTATATTAATGTCATTTTTATATTCTTAATAAATGGCAGATAGACAAGAACAGGACTGTAAACAACAAAGTACAAGAGAAATGCCCTAGGAGAAAAATGAAAGTATGAAAACATGGCATTTGGACAAATGAAATTAAATGTGTCTGTTACAGATGTCTGGAAGAATCATTTAGCCAAATTTCACTCAAGCCAATTAGAAGTTGACATTATCAGTTGGGATTAAGAGAGTCTCCAGAGGTTTCCCTTTCCAAACAAAATTTTGGAAATCGGTTCAGTGTTCAGTTTCACATTTCATTTTTCTTAGTAAATGGTCACAAGGGGAAATTAAAGATTGTCATTTATTAACTATGTCTTTAAAAATGCAGTCAAGAAAAACTGTTTAGGTTAATTGTTTTTAGATAAAATATGTCAGTGATATGAAAACAAAAAGTGACAAATAATTGTGGGTTTCTTTTTAATTTACAAAAACACTGGAAACTCTAAATCACACTTCTACTCTCCACACCCACCCCTGACTTTGCATCAATTGCAAAACTACAGGTGTGTCACTTTGTAGATCAACTTCAGGATGATGGATTGATTTTATGGTCACTCTTGAGTTTTCACGTCATTCATCACATAAAATTTGATGATACCTCATGCCATATTACAGTATATTTCACATTTGTTTTCATTTGCCTAAGGCAGAATACCCACATTTGAACTATATTTGGGGATAGGACAGGAGTGGAGCTGTGTCTTTTCTCTCTAAAAATTTGGTTAATCACTTTATTTTTTCATATAAAACTGCCTTTTCTTTTTAAAAATCATTACAAAAGGATTTTCCATTCGCTTATTCTTATTATTGTGTCTGAAGTGATATTACATTGTTTTTTTATCTTAGTTTTTGATAAGTGTAAGCAACTCCTATTAAACTATTATTTAAATATTTCAGTTTTATCATTAACAAAGGCATCATGCTTCAAGTTTTCTCTTTTTATCATGATAAGATGGTTCTTCCTATAAAATTTTGCCAATTAAACTTCATTCTTCCATACTCTAGGCATATTTTTAAATTACAAACATTAGAAACCCTAAATCCCAGTCCCCCTATCCACCGCCCCCCCCAAACGTCTCTCTACAGTCTACGTCTGGTATAGAATCCATATTAGGAACACAGATCCAAGAGATTGTCTAAAATGTTCTTGCAAAATTCTCACTGTGAACTGCTTGGTTCCTCTGACTTCGGAAACATAATGCCAGCTTCTAGGATCCATCATGCTTGGGTATTCCCTCCAATGCTGTTTTTATCTATGATGTGCTTCATGACTTCAGTGCCTGAGCCATGAAGATAGAAATCTATTAGCTAACACCTAAGATGTTTTGACTGAAAGAAAAGTGAGCAGAAACAATATAATCATTGCTGTGGCAAAATTTGGTAAACTTCTCTGGTTATTTTATCAACTCTCCTTTGGATTCAAATTGTGATGTCTCTGGCATTCCCATGATAGGGAATGTTTAGCCTTTATGAAATCCTAAAGGTTTTCTGTTTTGGATTTTTTTTGTTGTTGTTGTTTCTACTCTTTTTCCACTTATATGTTTGACTGACTTTTGCCAAGATTCTGTCATTGCTAGTTATTCAACGAGCATTTATTTCAGGGTATATTTTAAGATTATTATTTGATAACTGTAGCATGAAGCAGAGGGTGATGATGCCTATAATTATAGAACTCTGCCTATAAAAATAACAATTATTGGGCAACAATCTCAAGAGGAATGAAATTTAAAGAAGACAAGAAAACTAATTTAAAACAGTATTCTACTTATAAATAAATACTTGATCTAAGAAAATATTTTCTCTGTCAAGTTTGACATCTGATCCCAAATTCTATGTCACCATTACTGGAAATTCCTTCACTTATTATTTCAGAATTAATTATTATATAATTCATTTTACAGTTTCAAATTGATTTGGGAACATGAAGTATACAGACTGCTTTAAAGAATTGCATACCTCCTTTAACCCAAAACAGCATGTGTTTTTAGCCAAGATGTATCCTGTTACTTATCTCCCAAATGCTTTGGTAAACCATATTGTCTTTTGGGGAAATATTTAAAATGTGCATGAAATTCCTTTCCGATATAGAAATCATTTCAGGAGTGCTTACACTAGTTTGATGTTTACATTGCTCTAACACAGTGCCTCAAGTACCTCTATGACCAAATTTGTCTCTAACCACATAGCTCATTTCCTATTATATCATCTTTGAGGAAGTCCTCGCAGAGACACTAATGGAGCTAAAGGCATTCTGGTATCTTCAGCAAGGGGACAGGATGTTATTGGATAATTACCACCATCTCTTGGTTTCCTAAGCTTCTCACAGAGTGGGAGTGGGCATGGCTTGAGACTCAACTGTGAGTAGGTACAAGGTTACTCTTTGATACAGAAAAAGAAAAGTCCTTTGAAAATGTATCAAAAAATAGCTGAGAAAACATGTTTGTCTTGGTATGAAGGAGGGTCACAAGTCATGAATTGATAGAGAAAATGCGAAATGCTAAGAATTGAGCTTGTGGGTCTCAACATAAGTTTTAGAATTCTTGCAAGTCACCACTTGAGTTGATTTGCTATCATTTCCACAGTATCAGGTATACATTGCAAAAAATTCAAAACCAGCATTTTCTAAAGTAAATATTTCATCTGTTGTTTTTCACCAGATGGGCCATTCTATGTATTAGTGGGTGTCTTTGTTATGCTTCCTGCGTATGTTATTCTCTGCCAACCTGTACAGGTAAAATCAACTGGACAAGGGTTTTATTTTATTTATTTATTTTTTAAGTTTTTTATTTATTTAACAGAGAGAGACACAGCGAGATAGGGAACACAAGCAGGGGGAGAGGGAGAGGGAGAAGCAGGCTTCCCGC